CTGAAATTCTCAATAAAGGTTTCGGACTTGTTTGAAACAATTGATTGGGCTAAGCTACGTGACAGGATTACAAGAAGTTGCTGACGTGTTTAACAAATACCTTCAGGAAATTACATCTTGGCTAAGCTGGGTTTCGACGATGCGAAAGGGAAACCTCATTATTTGTTTCACACTTATACATATGAAGAAAATGTATGAATTTATAGTATGTGCAGTTTTACCCGCATTAACTCAAGTCGAGATTGACCCGCTCACTTTTGTCCATCATAAAAATGTAATTCAATTGTGTAAGTTTTAGGCACTGCGTCAAAATTTAGGAATTTTTATGTTGCCTTACTCCGTCAAATGCTTGGCACAGCGTGTCCCTGGAGTTTAAGGCGTTATAATTTATGTGCGAACTAAGCCAAGGAATCAAATTTTTATCTACCTTTAAATAACCTTATTTTAAGCACAAAAGCCGATAATACTGAACTACCAAATTGGTATATGCTAAGACCAATCGTGATTTTATAATTAGACGATTTAAGTAAATAATAGGACTATTATGCGTAACAATGGGAGCAGAACTCATTAAGCAATGCAAAGAATCGAACCCTTTGTCGAAAAACGAAGTCAAAGGTCTAATTGCCTGGGGTATGCTTTTATATTATTATCACCCTCTTTTCTGAATTTCATTCGGTTTACCAAATTTCGAAAATTTAATCCATTTCTAAGGCTTCTCAGAAGTCATGTCTATTTGTTATAAACAAAAAAGGTTTTGGTCAAACAAAATTACATAGCATTGATGATTTTATCTAGATATATACAATATACATAATCAGTATGGCCATGATCGGGCTCTCGCATACTTGTCCATTATATTATCTTCAAAATGTCCAATGAATATAATATATTTAAACATCGACGAAACTTTGTAATTTAATGCCCAATATGACAACTGATATATAAACATACGACTACTCGTAAAGAGTACCTAATAAAAGGTTTCCGACTGAATGTATTGTTTCTTACTTAGGCTTTTTATATAATTGTTCGTTACTTAAATAATCAACTCTGAGTGTGACCTTTCGCCCTAGCCGCCGTAAGCATTATGAACTGTGTAACCGAAAAGCCTCTGTATAAATAATAGATTCTGAGACACGTACAAAATTAACTAGATTCGGTTTTGGTATGAATGTGGTAAGAAACTTATCCTGAATACAAATTGATACATAGTTGTATTTGTGAAATGGGCAGCCTTTAATAATTATTCGAAATTTTATTATAATTCGGATTGTATTATAAACGTAAAGATGGATGTTAGTTAGTAGCTCTATAAGGGACTGTCCAGAGGTGATGGTCAATTCGAATAATATTTGGCGTGATTTATTTATTAAACAAAGAAGTATCGAAGACACATCGGCTTAGGGTCCTACAAAAAAAGAGCTTACTAATTCTGAAAAGGCTGACGGTATCACTTAACATCAGATGAGCCGTGTGTCCGTTTGCCCCCCTGTTCTATAAAAATTATAGATAAAACATCGGTTGTCTGTAAAGTCGGTTTACTGACGATAGTTGAACGTGACAACGTCATAAGAAAATACTGAATGAAACGAACGAACGCTGCCGAACGCGGAGGCCGATTGTGCCTCTTTGTCGCTCGTTCCGCGCTCTCGCTTGCACTTCAAGCCTTAAATGGAACGCCTCAGAGCGAGGTAACGCCGCATGCGTCATGTTTTTTCGTGCGTGCAGCCGGCTCCATCGAATTATAAGACGTTGTCACGTCAAAAGAAATTCAAGTTATAATTAAAAAAGTGTCCTTAAATAGCTTCACAGAAATTAAAAATATTGTAAAAAAAAAGGGTGCGTGTACTTATGTACGCGCGTAAGAAGTTATACTTCTTTGGCATAATTAAAAATAGTTTTTGATTGCATGCAAATAATTAATTACAATTAAATAATCAAAGACTGGAAAAGGAGTCATTATAGTCAATAAAGTTCAGTTTACATTTGAATTTTAAATAAATATTTATTATTATACTCTTACATTAAGTGTAACATAAATTCTATTATTATTCGAATGTTGTTTTTAAATTATGTCCAATGCCGTAGCATCTTCCGTGGGCAACTTCATTCTGTTAATTTTGTGTCACGGTGCGCGCATCGTAAAATTTCACTCTCATAAATTTTTCATAACGCGCCTAAAGAAGTATAACTTCAAAAATAGTACAACTAAAATAAACAGAAATCTACTCATACCAACACATGATAATGTGAACCTCATGAAATGAATCCTGAAACATTTGCATCTTTCATTAAATGAGTATTTCTCTCGACGAACGTCAGCCAATTGTCAATTCAAATTAAAATTGTAGTTGATTTACAAAATATGTATCTCTTAATATAGGTCCGCAGAGTTTTCCAAAATTTTGCTATAAGTTATCATTTATATTTCTTGTTTTACATCCCAATGTATAGTTTGTAAAAATTTTGTTAAACAGTAAGTTAATAAATATAATGCAGGGGCCTCATAGGCTAGCGGTCTTATTAAGTGGCAGCTAGCTGAGGGCTACCGGGTTCGATTCCCGGTTCGAGGGCCAGTTAAAATCCTATACTTGACGCTGGCTAATGCAAAAATCGTGCCAGAGCCATTAAAAAAAAAAGTATAATGCAGCCTTGCGATTCTGTAACTCACTTTTCGAACTCTCACAGCGGTTTTCTCAGCGGCGGTCGAGCTCAAATCAGTCGTGAGTTGAAAAGTGAATTACAGAATCGCTAGGCTGCATTATACTTATTAACTTACTATTTAACAAAATTCTTACAAACTATACATTGGGATGTAAAACAAGAAATATAAACGATAACTTCCAAGGCTGCTGTGTTTGCCTGTTTATCGTTTGTTTCTCGATGTAAGCTTTTATTGTAATGTCTTGGTAAATCCTTTTTTGAATAAATAAATAAAGATTTAACTAATAACTACGGAGGTTGGAATTCAGTGTTGGTCAATTTCGTTCGAATTTAACTCACCAAAATAAACTGTTATACAACGTTCCCTCAATAATAAGGTTTGATTAAGCGAAAACCACTTAAAGTAATCCAACTACTTTGAAATGAATTAAACCAAAATAGGGTCTCCTATTTTCATGTCATTTTACTATATTCAAACCACAAACTTGTTTTTTATATCTTAAGTAATCATGTTGAATTTCATTTTCAAGATGTAATCTAATAGATATATATTATATCTTCTCATTTACAAAATTCTCGTGTCACAATGTTCGTTCCCAAACTTCTCCAAAACGGCTCGACCGATTCTTATGAAATTTTTTATACATATTCAGTAAGTCTGAAAATCGGCTACTATATATGTTTCAAACCCCTATGTGATAAGGTATGTCCAGCCCAAAATATTTGTTTTGTATACAGCATACAAAACTTCATGCAACCCTTAATTTTCATCTACCCTCTAAGATCAACCCCTATTTTTTATTTGTTAGTTAAGAACTTAAAACTTGAACTATAGATTTCTCTATAGTTTATATAGAGAAAAATCACAGAAAACCTAAAAAGTTTTAATTCCGGAAAAGCGAACAGTCTCTAGGGTAGCATAGCAAAATGATCCATGTTGGTATGTACTAAAAAGGCTAAGTAAAATCACATTAAGGAGAAACGAAGTTCGCGGGGGCATTGTGTTTCAGGTGCTTACTTTGCCTATAAAGAGAAATGATGTAGGACATGATCCCAAAATGGTCAAAAAAAAATATATTATTAGGATTTCACCACTCTACTAGTTTAGTATTAATAGAGTTGTATTAGAATCAGAACTTGAGTTGTTCATTTCAGTCACGTACTATCCCAAACCCTTCTCAGGTCTCACCAGCTAGTGTTGACACACTATTGTTTTAAACATGGCCTTATTAACTTCCTTTTTGTCTCTGACTTTGGCGTATTTACAACAAATGTGGGGGTTAGTAAATTTATAAGTTATTATACAAAGCCAACACAAAGCTTTCTATTTCCTCTCGAGGAAAACAAAATAATTATAAAAATAATTTAAGAACCAATTTTCAAATTCATAATCGTTCTGATGAAACGTTACTTCATCCACGTCGCTTTAAGGAATAAGACATCTTGAAAGTATGGTGGATACGGCCAATACATCGTTTGAATCGCGAACATAGCGCGTATGTGTTTTATTAAACGAATAAAAAATCATATATTATTTACAAATCATGTATTGAAATAAATATATAACTTATACTGCATATAGACAATATTTCGCTTCAAATTTTCCTTAATATAATAATCGTATAGCTAATTAAGTAGTAACTTTTTTAACAAATACTGATGCTACTCGAAACTTATGTAAAAATAATTCTCGTAAAAATAAATATCGCCGTGAGTCTTGTAATAAAAATAAATATTAACTAGGTTTACATCTTATTCTCTAGTTTTAGTCTTAAAAACGTAAGGCATTACAAAAATATCATCAAAAAGCCTAAAGAATCTTTTGTATGTTATAAACAATAATCGTTTCTAACGATACGCTGGATATTGGTCTTAAATGACAATTCAACAAAACATACTCATTTTTATTATTCATTAATGTGATTTTGTCAGTTAGTTTTTAGTTTTTTTTTCTTTTCTACGTGATTTTACACGTGCTCATTTATAATCTTTGCCCTAAATGCTTGAATAGTACTTAAACATTATATTGTTGCGGAGTTATTTTATGAATATCTACAAATATATGACAAGTGCAATATTTTCAATCCTTACCAGTAAGATACGGATTACACATATTTAAAACAAAGCGCTTTCGCAAATAATGCAATATTTCGAAAAATGTTAACAGTTAGTCTTAGAAGATTTGTCAACAGACTTTTAAAGAGAAATCAAAGAAACTCTCCTACTAAAGGTGTGAGACAATAATTTTATCATTATAGAAATTAGACGGTTAAATCCATACTAGATACAAAAAAAAGAATATTTTGTGTTCTACATTTTGTTAAAGAAATAACTCATTGCACTGAAACAGTCTCCACTTCAATAACATGCCTATGCCTTTTCCTTTTATGTATACCGTCAAACTCATTATGTATCTCTTTCAACGTTCTTCCTTTAGTCTCAGGTACAAAAAAGTATACAAAAATGGTTCCAATCAGGCTAGTAACAGCAAAATGCCATAACGTCCACCCCGGACTCACCAAGTGTATTAAACTTTGGTATAACTTCGTAACTCCGAATGCAAAAAACCAGTGAAATCCAGCGGTAAGAGCTGTCGCTCGTCGCCTTACGTTAGGTGCAAAAATCTCACGTAACATCAACCAAGGTATGGGCCCTGCACCTACCGCATATACGGATACAAATATGCATAATGTGGACAAAGGTACCCAGGTATTATGAGCTGATAGGTTCGATGCTTTTAAATGATAGAACATCGCTAACGTGCCCAAATTAAGTGCCATTAGTGTAAAAGATATTAGTAATAACACGCGTCTTCTAAATTTCTTTAAGAACATAGTTGAGAAGTACATAGATGTAACAAAGCAGAAACCAAGAATAATAGTTGCGCTTGATAAATTTAACGATATAGCAAAATTCTTAAAGATCTTCTCGGCGTAGAAGAGAATTGGATAGATACCGCTCATCTGCTGAAAGATCATCAACCCAAAAGAGACGATCAATGGCTTAATAGTAGTTCTAGAAGTGAAAAGCTGCCTAAATGTGACTTTATTTCTTCCGTAATTCCTGACGTATTCCTTTAATTCTTTCATTTCCGAATCCACGTCGTTGTCTATGCCTCTGAAGTATTGTAACGCCGCTTTTGCTTCGGGGAATTTCCCTTGAGACATCAGGTAAGCTGGTGATTCCGGAAGAAATATGAATCCAATGAAGAATGATATGGGTATACTAGCGCATAGTACCGACAGCCACGAAGCGCTCTGGACCAATCCTGCAATTATACAAACAATTAAAGTTAACATAATTATGATGATGATAGCTTTATTACTGAAACTTAAATCTCAATTTTGAGGACGTGAATCCTTTGTTACAGTTAAGCTAATCGAGCTCAGATGGTAATAAAACAATATGTATAATATACATTTTGTGGAACAGAACGAAGTTTGATCAATATCTGTATGTAACGAAATATATAATTCGAGTATTTTAAATACAATGTATAAATCTTACCAATAATATAGCCAAAAAGTACCCCAGCAGCAAAATGCACGTGGTAGAAATTGGCCAATGCAGGTAAAGTATTCGTCTCGGCTATGTCTTCAATATACGGTGGTATCGCCACGCTGAAAGCTCCTACGGCCACGCCACTAACGAAACGCCCCACGTACAAGCCGTAGACGTTAGGACTGAATAAAATAAACTTAATATTTATATATATTACGAAAACATACTCGCATCAACTGTTTTTGTACTGCACGACAATACCGCTTTCAGGATTTTTAGAACTATTAGAAAGCAAATATTTAAAGGAAACATGTTAGTTATACATTATGTTTTTGACCTAATTATCATACTACAAAATGATTTCCGTGCATCGGCATCAAATTCTTTGGACTTGTCAATGTTCAATAAATAATAAAAATTAGTTAAGTTACCAGAAATACCAGATCAGATATCCAAATAGGGTTTTGTTGAAATTTACGTTAACACTAGTGAATCTTAATTCTATATTATCGGGTATACCTTGAAGCGACTAAGATCCATGAGACCACCAAAGGCAGCGCAAGATAAAGTAATGTTTTCTTTCGTCCAAAATATTCTGAGATGAGACCAGAAGGAACAGCCCCAAATAACGCACCCAAACACAACAGAGACGCCACCCATGAGGCTTCCGTTTCCGTGAGCTAAAATAATTATAGCTTTAATTTTTATTAAATTTGTGTGTTATTTGTAAAATTATTTATATGTAGATATTATTCATTATTGTTGTTTGTTTGTATTCTTCTATCTCGTTTTCTTTTTTTGTGTTGTGTAACTGTCAATGGTCGGTGCAAACAGATTTATTATAGGTATATAAATGTTTCCGTGTAAGTTTTTATTAAGTTGTAACCCAAATAAAGATTCTATAACCATAATCACCTGCACACATAAGATGGTGCACCCTTCCATTTGGCACTAAAAAAAGCGTAGTCACATTACAGTGATAATATCAAATTCTAAATTCCAATAATATACGTTTAACCTTTTAAGTACAAATTACTTGTTGTACCTAGGTCTTACGTAACTTATATGGTAATAAATACATAAATACGTGTATTGTACGAATGGTAGACTATGTGTGCGTTCGTGTGTGTGAGTGTGTGTGTGTGTGTGTGTGTGTAAATGTGTAACTCAAGTTTCGCAGCCATTGGTATAATAGTTGCTTCTTGCTTATGTAGACTAAGCAGGTAAATATTGATGATTCAGTTAATATTACAACGTAAGAAAACGAAATTATGTTATTAATATTGATTTGAGATGATTTTAATTCGTGTTCATTGTTGCCTATATGAATAAATGACTTGGAGGCACTTATAGCTTTTAATAGGTTACCTACTTCTACTATGTATATATAATTAAAAATACAATGATACGATATTCAAAAATGTTTGCCCAGTGTCCCACTGTGAGCTATGCAAACATCTTTAAAATTATCATTCTGATTCAGTTTATTTGCTATGATGCTTATTTAAACTAATTTTTTAATGAACTTGAGGTCGTGTTAGAGATAAAATATGGGTCAATGAGTAATACAAAAATATACACATGACAACATAAATAATTCATAATACCATTTATTAACGACAGTATAAATGTTCTAGTTGTTACGACAGATTAACCCAACTCACCATAATTTTGGTGTGTGTTCCATTGTTTGATGTAAAAACATCTGACGATCGGGCTGGCTGCGTCTAAAAATTGATAAAGAATAATTATAGACCCGGGAAAATTAAGGGTGCATTAATAGTTTTTTGTACGTGCGCAATAAAGACTTGATACAGTGAATAAAAACATGGTGATAAAATATTTTTCAAGCCAAAAAATTTACAAGGACTACCAACCTACCAACACTACCTTATCTATAATTAAAGTTTTTTGCAGAAATCTAAAGCACGACCTGTATGAAGTGACAAAGGTTCTAGCGTCACTGAAAAACTTATATAGTGTAAACTAACTTTGTGTTATTAAGTTTTAGCCGATCAATCACGGGTGTTTTCAAGAGAATCATCAAGATGAACTTAGGGATTCCGTTAATCCTTATTGCATAGTTTCATTAAGACCGTGACATACATTTCAAACTCCTCAAACTCGCCCCGGGATCTTAGGATTAGACCCAAAACTTGCTAACTTTAAATTGTTCAGTGCATTTCAATTTTGACGCAGTTTACACAAGATGGATATTCTATTTGTCAAATGTAGATATATTTCATAGTTTTTGAAGTTATACTTCTTTAGGCGCGTTATGAAAAATTGATGAGAGTGAAATTTTACGATGCGCGCGCACCGTGATACAACATTAACAGAATGAAGTTGCCCACGGAAGATGCTACGGCATTGGACATAATTTAAAAACAACATTCGAATAATAATAGAATTTATGTTACACTTAATGTAAGAAAATAATAATAAATATTTATTTATTTAATTTTTCAAATGTAAACTGAACTTTATTGACTATAATGACTCCTTTTCCAGTCTTTGATTATTTAATTGTAATTAATTATTTGCATGCAATCAAAAACTATTTTTAATAATGCCAAAGAAGAATAACTTCTTACGCGCGTTCATAAGTACATGCACCCTTTTTTATTGATTTATCTAAGCTTCGTAAAATTTGTTTGAACCTTTTGTATATATTATGCATTTCATATTTATATCTTCAGATACCTTAAGATTACGTCATTAGCCTTCCTCTGCATGATCAGTAGGTATAAACGTCTCAAAACTTTAAATAAACTACAGTTAGTGAATACATATTTTTAATCCATACATTTTACAAAGAATATTTATAAGACTTAAACCAATCATTGTATTTATTTCGGTATGACTTGTGAAAAAAATTATCATACTAAAGGTGACTATTACACTAGAAAAGTAATCACTTTTTTAAGTCACGAAAGGCAGCTATCAAATTTAATTGAATTGTCCCGTATTATTTATGATGTTATTAATGAAAATGTTTTAATATTTCATCGCTGACAGCCATATTAATACCCAGAAAGTTTATAAGGCGTGAAGGAATTAGGGGCTTTGGAACTTTCGCGTTTTCAGTCAAATTAAAATTGTATAATAGCACTTTTTAGTAATCACGCTGTTGGCGTCTACAACTCGGTATGAGCTCGACGTGTTTACTGTTTAGCTCGGTCAAGTGTGTATACTTTTAGTACATATTTCTATACTATACATACATGTGTTCTTTTTTCTTATTATTATTGACATAAATATTTATTTTGGGTACTACAATGAATTTTGTAGCATTACTTTAAACTATTTTCTTGCTAAGTATACGACAGTTAAGAAATATATAAATTAATATAATATATAATCACATAAATATAGGTTGTAAAGTAGCTTTTTCGTGTACACTTATCACCATCAATGTCTCTAAATTTCCATTTATTTACCTAACTAAAAATACAAGGAAATATTATAATAATATGTGTATTATCAAATTTACCTCATACTGTCCAGATATCATAAGAGGCAATGCTGACGAAGTCCAAGCGACGCACACGCCAGATGCGAATGCCCCAAGATTTACTGTAATTCGTATAAATAATGAAATAAAGTAAAGTAAAGTAAAAATAAAAATCATTTAATCATGTAGGTAACATAATTAACACTTATGACTCGTCATAGACCACAAGCCCATGAACAAAAAATACCTGTGAAATATTACTCCTCATATTGCTTTAGGAATATTTGAAAAATCATCTAAATTTCGGAAATTTCATATATTTTTTATCATAATATTTTTATTTGTTACCATTTATAATGAACGGCTATAAGGTACAACGGTAACATTTAGTAACATTATGTAAAAAAACAAGTTGCCGTACATTATTCTCTGATCTTACAGCTGTAATAACTCGGTAAATCCTGAAATTTCGATAAATATTTGTTTACACAAATATTAACTATAATTTTTTGACGGCATAATTATAAAACATTATTGTCTAAAATGTACTAGAATGTTATTGTGTTAAATAATATTTTGAACAATATGTTGCCGTACATTTTACAATGACCTTAGGGTATATGGGTGTAGGGGTAGGGTTCCGACCGCTCCGCTGGAAATATGTACGGCGTTTACGGGTAAAGTATCTGTATATGTGTCCAAAAGGAATTACGCAAATGCCGTACAGTAATAAATGACCTATATTGCTCCTGCAACTATCGTCGAACTAAAAATTTGCACCGACTTCTGGCACCATCACTTTAGTACGACACTAGGTTTTTCGACATTTATTTTTAATCATCTATACACTTATAACAAAGCCGTACATTAATAATTAGTCGAAATTCCCCAATTGTACCTAAGAAAGTCCATTCACTCACGTACTCACATGTACCGCTCAGAAATGACGGCATAGTGCTCAGAGCTATTTTCAGATATAGTAACAGCCTTCTAAGCGTAATTCACGTTGGGTCATTTCACAGGTATTTTTTGTTCATGGGCTTGTGGTCTATCAGTAAAGAAACACATATTAATGCTTCTAATTTTACATTTTCTGCCAGTTCTCAAATCAAGGGCGTAGAACGGAAGAGAAGAACTGGCAATAAACTCTCCGCCACTCTTTTTAATCGCCATTATTTTTACACAACGTTTGTAAGGAGCTGCAACCATTACACCATGTTCCACATGACATATCAAGTAATTAATAATAATAACATGAATTAAAAAAAAAAACAAAGACTTGTCCCCTATCATCAGGAGGCATGGTGAAATAGGAGCACGCACTTACATTCTCGTGGGAACAACACGCAAACACATAATCGAACTACATAGTCGAAATAAGCAACATCACCGCATACACGAATTAAGGTACGACCAGTCACCACATGCAGCACCCGTTCACGAGCATGACGCATGGCCAGCCATCGGCCCCCTTACCATATTTTAGGGAGAGAGACAACCCGACGCATAACGCAATAAGTGCAGCACCAAATATTTTTGTATGTAAGCAACGGGTAGGTTTTATAAGATACTTAGAATGAATCGCTGACCTAATTTATTAGACAACTAAGCCTGTATGAAGTCGAGATTCAAATTAAAAAACTTTATCCGAACATAATTAACAATCTATATATTTGCATTGAGGTTGCACACAAGAATACTCATCGAAGTATTTCTGAACCAATACGACATAGAAAATAATCAATTCTTAACTCACTTCGACTCTTCTGGCAATGTGAGTGTCGACGGGCGGTACCACTTTAAATCAGGTGAGCCTCCTGCCCGTTTACATATACTGATCAGTGAAAAACGCAATAATATTTGCAAGTATATTGATCTATGAAATATCATACAGTGCCACTACAAGCACCCATCCAACATTTTAAGATAAAGATTTTTGACGCAAATTTTCTTAGCCAAATTCCAATTTTTTCCTATATCTTACCGATTCCAGTAGCAATATACTGGGTAGTGATCCCTGAAGTATCCCTTTTGATATCAGGAACGGTCTCCAACCGAGTGAGTATTTTAGAGTGACCATTTTTATCTTCTATATGAGACCCGTCTGCTTCTAAATCGTTCGGGCGTTCTTCCACTGAAATTAGCAACATTTTCAATCAATTTTATAGTAATTTCGTAAACATATACATATATTTTAAGGAAAAATATGTCATTAGCGTACTAGAATACGTTTATTAAATAAATGTACAATAATAATGATTTAAATAGATTCGCAGCGTGCATTATAATATATTTTGGAAATAAATATAGCCTATGCTACCCAGAAAGAATATTTGAAATCGGTCCTTTGATAAAATATACAAAAATACAAATATTTCCTCTTTATAATATTAGTATAGGACATTACAAAGTTAACTCTTTTTTGAAGTTATACTTCTTTAGGCGCGTTATGAAAAATTTATGACAGTGAAATTTTACGATGCGCGCGCACTGTGACACAAAATTATCAGAATGGGCGCCGGGCGTGCGCGAGCGAGATGGGAATAAGACAATCTACTATATAAGACAGTAAAAAGAAATAGAATATGCGTGACGTTAGCAGCTATGCCAAGAATTTTGAATGACCATAATGACATTTGTAGTACCTTTTAAACAAATAAAGGAGTTTTAATTATTTTTTCAAAGAAATTTAGCAATGTTTTTTCACAAAGACCTATTGTTACTTAGTTAAAAGGTTATGAAACTTACCTAGTTATTAAATTGAATTAATAATATAATAAAATAATAAATAATAATATTAATTAATAATTGAATAATAACCTAAATATTAAATATTGTTAAATTATTTACGCTAAATGTTTATTATTAATTATTTAATATTTAAAAAAAATAAAGAAAGCCAAAGAAGTATAACTTCTTACGCGCGTAGATAAGTACACGCACCATTTTTTTTTATGTAGCCGTCATTGTATTTTATTAAATTTTCGACCATTAGGAACAGTTTTTACACATAAATAAGAAGTATTATATAGACGTTTCTAATAATATTGTTACATTCTACACAATAGCTTTTTCGTTTGGAATACTAGAAATAATCTAAAATATAGATATATGCATGAATCAAGAATTCATAGAAATAAATAAACTTATCTTTGATTGAAAGAATTAAAAAATATTCTATATAAGTATTATGTTAAACTGTTTGTAAAAACAAATATATTTCACATATTTAAATAAATACTTTCGAAAAAAACAAGTGCTATATCCTCAAATGAACCCGCGAGCGGCGGCTCCTAAAATTAATATATTACATGGTAATTAATGAAAATCTATATATACTTATTAATTATCACATTTCAATAACTGAATATCTTATAGGTACCTAAAGAAATGTGTTTACATCAAACCATTATATACTTAACCTCTGACCTACCTTAATCAATGTACTTATATTTTCATTTAATTGATAAATATTAATTCCAGTGCATACATTTTTTAATGATGCAAGGTTAAACTTGTTAAAACTGATTATTTTATATGTAACACATCAATATCAATAGTGAAGGTAAAAATTTTGCTTATTAAAAGCCTACAATACCTATATATAACGTAGTAAACTAAGTTATTCAAGTAATAATTTTCACATCAGTATAATTTTACAATTAATTTTGCTGTCACTGTCAAGGCTGGGAAGAAGCCCACGTGACAGTTCTGAAGTTGAGGTCATATCACATGTGATTAGGGAAAAGACATACCATCATGTTAAGGAACATATAGAGTACGTAACATTAATAATATTTAATAAAGACTTAGGCTATTTGTTATTGTGGTCATAGAGGAAAGGTCAAAATAAAATTCTTCATAAATAGGACAAAATATCTTTAACAACAGCTTAAAATAAATAAACAGTATTAATCTTAAAATAAATAATTTCTCTATAAAGAATGCGAAAAGCTTTTGAGTCTTGCCCTTATAAAAACATATGCTGTCACTAAATATTTAAGTCTACCTAACAGATTTCTAATGTAAATTTATCCACCATTAAAACCCAGAGTTCAATCTATTCTTAGTACGAAACGTTTTCTAAGGAGCTTACATTATTTTGGGTTTGGTTATAAAAAAAATCCCGTCCCTCCATCAAACATTCAATATACGTTACGTAGAATCGTAAAGCGTTTACGATCCATGCGATGCTTCTCGAAATTGTTCTTAGAATATCAATGTTGGACATATTAAAGAAATGGAAAAACTATTGAACTTAACGAATCAGTGTATATTTAGAAATTCTAAGTTTTTAGTTCAAATGACGGTGACTTTCGCGTTTTCTGACATCCGTATACAAACTACACTAATTACTATAATGGGAGTATTTCTTTGAACATTATAAATAATAATAATATCACAATTATCTTTAAGCTCGATCATCACATCACTTTAATATAACAAACCACACTTCAAGAGATCCTAGTAATCAGTATTCACAAAACGCACCAAAGTTTGAATATATTTAAGAAGAAAATTAATTAGTTTTTGATAGCAATGAACTTACGATTCAAGGAGAAATAGTCAAGAGCAGATTTTCTAAAGTCAATATTAAAATCCAAATAACTTGTTTATTTCTATAAAAAATACTTCAAACTTTTTAAATTAAAGTCAAATTCATTACAGAAAATCGGAATCGGTAGCCAGATTTTTGAGAAACCTTTATATTACTCGAATTTTGATCAAGTTACTTCCAAATATTGTTACTCCCACATTTTTCTTCCATAATGTTAAAACAGTAATTCTATACATAAAATCATTTTTGTTTGTTAAGAACTCGACCCGAGGATCTTACTTAGAATTCTTAATAATATACGACTAAAAGTAACTAGCAATAAATGTTTAAGAATTTCTAAGCGTTAATTATTAAATATATACATTTTAAATTTCGAACCATTCCTGTGCAGAGATGCGTTATCATACGCGAGAAGCTAAGTTCACAAGTTGTGACAGGTGTCCTTATCTGGCACTTTGGCATGTATTTAAAATTTGAATAATAACTTTATCAACAAAGTCGTACGATTTTCTTATCTGTAGCTTGCTTCAATAATACAAAGTGTTAAACGTATTTCTTTTACAAAGTATGGGAAAATCCAATTCAAAGCTTTGCCAGAGTAACACTGGCTTTGCATTATTCAAAAACGTAATAAGACTAACTAACAATGTGCACTCTTGGGTATATTTACTTCATGTAACGGGAAGTGACAATATTGTAAAATAAAGAAACGCATTGTGTTCTTTATGGCATCGGAGACTGATTCTCTTCGTCGGAGAACACTCACTATACTGAATAGATTATTTAAATGAACGAATCCTAAATATAAAGAAAATATAAGATTATACAGAAACGGCATAAATAATAGTTTCCTAAATTCTTTGGATCGAAGAAATGGAAGCCGGAAAATGAGGTATACACTTTATACTACCAAAACAGTTAAAATACTTCTAACTTGTGACGATATTAGTTGGTCAACACTGCACTACTATTCTAATTTTCATAAAAACAGCAAAAATTAACGGTAAATACAAAATTGTATCACATTTTTAGGCATTACAAGAAAACCAATTAATCTACACTATTAAACAAACACAAATGATAAAAAAATGTACGTACTGATAAATCCTTGGCACTAATAAAAAAAATAAATGTAATGTTTGTCTGCCTATACGCTCGTGATTAACTGCCTCTGAGACTTATCTTGATGCCGAGTTGGGAGCCAGGGGCGTGCAATCGTGGTTCAAAAATACGTTTGGAATAAAATATAGATTAGGACTTTGTACGTAGAATACCAATGTAACGATATTGTTAGTGTAACGGATTTGAAAGTAATTCTATAAGATTTCTAATTATTTCGTTTTTATTTTATTTTTGCTCTCAAACATCACACGTGAAAATAAGAACAATCAGATAGGTAGAAAGAATTTTTGAAACTTGTTTAACTTCTAATATTTCACTCAATTTACGTAAAACCTCTACGAATTATATATCGAAATTTTATTTTTTTATTTATTCACGCTTCTTCCAATCAATATAAAAGAAACACAAATAACACAATAAGCGATCTCTTCCTGGCAACCCTAGTTAAAAAGAAAAACTAAATGTTATATAAAAAAAATATAAAACCTTAATCTAAAGTAAAAAAAATATATTAATAACAAACTAAAAACTTAAAAGCTAATCTTACAAATTCGAATTTTTGTCAAAATCCATTCGGCAAATTTTGAGTAAATGCCGTTTCTATATGCATAAGGTATTTTTGAAACTTTTTTAACTTATAATATTTCAGTCAATTTACGCAAAACCACGACCACCTACTTATAAAAATATGTTAATATGTTATACAGAGGATATACACGTGTAACTTTAGAAGGCGCAGCGCTAACCAGATCTCTACAACCTCCTCACAATCGAGTAGCCTTCAATATAGCAGCACACGCATCGCAGGGACTCTTTGTATCGAAGAAGTCGCATAGGTCTGCCATTATTTAAAAAGTGACAATTAAAAGAACCCATGTAATTTTCTGTTTTTTAAGCCTACCCAATATCAAATGGTCATTTGAAAAATTATATAATTAATTACATAATAATCACATAATCTTCTCTCTTCATTGGTGGACGGCCTTCATTACTGGAAGCCGTCAGTCTCATGAAGCGTGTTGTCCTGTGCCAGATGAGGCAACTCTTCCGCAGTCGCAATAATCGTCCACGTTACGAAGCCATGATTTTTTTCTACCAACACGCCGTTTACCCTGGATTTTACCCATTATAATTAATTTAAGGAGGTGGTCATGGCGCAACACAAAAACAACTTTCCGTTGTTAAATGTTCTGCATAAGTTTTTTTTTCGATAAATTTACAGAATAAATAAGCCTACATTACATACTGTATGTTTAACAGACCTTAGCAGTTCCCTAATACTGGTAAAGAAGTAGCTTTACCAATAAAAGTTTCGTTGATGTTTATTGGTAATACTACCGCTCGCAAGAACACGCGGTGAGATCTTTCATGCATCAATGTTGCCCATAACATTAATTAAATTTTTTACCGTCTTCTTCTTCTTCGTGCCTGTCTTGAAAATACCTAACTGATACGTCGACTTGCTGCCTC